CAATGATGCCAACAGTTTGACTGCTTGATGTCCAGGAGTAAAGAAGAAGATTTTTAAAGATTGCATTATTTTTGGTGGTTTTAGCCCCACCTCTCAGGCCCCAGTGGGGCAGGGACCATGAAATTCACAATTTTTGTTCCCCTTCACCCATAGATGCTATATGCCAAATTTGGTTGAAATTGGTTAAGGGGTTTCAGAGAAGAAGCTAAAAATGTTCAAATGTTAACGCACGACGCACGCCGACGGACGAGAACGGATAGCAATAGGTCACCTGAGTGACTCAGGTGACCTAAAAATTTTGAGGGATCAAAACTTCAAATCTGTGTCTATCAGTGTTTGCCAAAGGATCTTCCAGCTGTCAGACAAATCCAATAAAAATTCGCTCGGTGCAATGGTTACTACTTATTAATCCAGACCAAATGTCCAGCATCAATCAAGACTTTTGTTTTACTTTCTGTTTCATATTGCAACAAAATGGCATCCACGATGTTTTTGAAATACACTGAGGGTGTTGTATGTAATAAATGACAGGAACAATTTGGCTATGATATCGTCAAACAATATACAGTTGAACTCTGGTTATTTCAAATACTGATATCTCAAATATCATGGATATGTTGAAGTGATTTTAAGTCCCAACCACTTATTCTTTAAGTATTTTACCCTGGATATCTCGAATTTTTGGATATCTTGAAGTTTTTTCTTGGTACCTTCGAGTTTGAGATAACAAGTTTGACTGTAATTAAATGGAAACTGAGCCAGTTTATTAAGAGGAGATTGGCTTGATTTCAATCGTGAAATAGGTGTGAAAACTTTCAACTGTAATGTGAGCATTAATAAATTGAAGTACTAAATTAAAGGCCCTGGAAATTATTAATCTTAAGTGAAATTTTCTACATGAAACTAAAAAGTGTGTAAGCATAGAATTTTTACTGGATTTGTCTTTTAAACAGTATTTTTCAATTCATATAATGCTGAAAGGACCATACACTTCCCGATGAATAAAGATTTTTTTTACTTTCAGCTTACTCAAAGCTATTGTTTCCAATTTTCTAGGAATTATGTCAGCATTACAAAATATACATAAATGATAACATGTAATGAAATTACGCATTCATTTATGAATATATACTTTGAAAAAGAATACTTAAAAATGTTGCCAGATATTATCAAAAACTTTGCTATACCTTAAACAGGTCTGGACGATTTCCAAATATGGAAGTCAAGAGCTATAACTGAAAGTTGTTATAAATATTTATTACATACTTAGTAATAAATACAGGTTTTTTGCAAATGTGATATGCCTGACGTCACAATAGCCGTATCAGCCCAAAAATCCTGCAAGGTTGATATGGATCTGCAGGGCTGATACAGATTAATATCACACCCTTGTTAAGTGAAACCTTTAAACAAGAGGCCCATGGGACATAACGCTCACCTGAGCAACTTTGGCCTTGCTGTTTTTCACCTGATTTCCCCACTTGTAGTACTTATTGTGGCCCTGCCCTACCTCTGGGGGTCACGATTCGAACAATTTAGAATCTACACTACCCCAAGATGCTGCCACTTAAGTTTCAGCCTTTCTGACCTAGTGGTTCTTGAGAAGAAGATTATTAAAGATTTTTACTACATATTTCAATGTAAAACTTGGATTCCCTATTGTGGCCCCACCCTACCCTCTGGGTCATGAACATTTTAGAATCTACACTACCCCAGGATGCTTCCACATAAGTTTCAGCTTTTCTGGCTCAGTGGTTCTTGAGAAGAAGATTATTAAAGATTTTTACTACATATTTCAGTGTAAAACTTGGATTCCCAATTGTGGCCCCGCCCTACCCCCAGGGGTCATGATTTGAACAATTTAGAATTTACACTACCCCAGGATGCTTCCACATAAGTTTCAGCTTTTCTGGCCCAGTGGTTCTTGAGAAGAAGATTTTTTAATGACCTCACCCAATTTTTATCATTTCTTGATTATCTCCCCTTTGAAAAGAGCTTGGCCCTTCATTTTAAGAATTTAAACTTCCCTTCACCCAAGGATGCTTTGTACCATGTTTGGTTAAAATTGCCCCAGTGCTTCTTGAGAAGAAGTTGAAAATATGAAAAGTTACAGATGGACGGATGGACAACAGGTGATCAGAAAAGCTCAAGCTAAAAACATTACTTGTGAAAATACATCTATTTTTTTTCACATTCTGCTAATTTTAAATTACCGTTCTTTTGATAAGTGATCAGTGCATGATTATATATATTTATTTTTCTCAAGTTGATGTGTGCTGTATTTTATTACATGTACCAAGTATGTAATAAACATAATAAAACATACCCTTTTCCACATCACATTCTGTATCGGCCCTCGACCAATATCAGCCCTCGGCCTTTGGCCCTCCAGCTGATATTGGTGTCACATAAATATTTTTCTGCCCAATCAGATGGCATTTTTACACACCCCAAAACATATTTCAAATGTAACAGAAATAAACGTGTGCTTTTGTTTTTGTTTTCCTCAAAAAAATTTTTTGACAAAAAATCTTTAGAAGAAAGATGAAAAGTTTAGAAGAATAAGATATTCCCCACATATTTACTGTGAACAAACTTGACATTTTCATCTCGGAAAAGAAAAAAAAATCAATGTAACAATTAACAGAACATACTCTATGTTGGTAAATATAATTTTGCTTAGCCGTCAGATTTTCCATGTATGTAGATCTACTGCACACAAGATATAGTTTTAAAATAACATGGATTTCATGAGCGCCGAATTCAATGTTATATACACTTTATTAAATGAACATAAGGAAAGGTAAACAAGAGGTCCATGGGCCACATCGCTCACCTGAGCACATTGGCTGGGCAAAAGCACAAATCAGTTCAGTATTGAAAAGATTACCCGGGGGGGGGGGGGGGGGGGGGGGGGGGGGGGCTTGAATTTTTAACTACCTGATAATGCTTCCATGTCAAAATAATAAATGGCTTTGTTGTACTTGAGAAGATTTTTTAAAAATTTTCCCATATATTCCTTTGTAAAAATTTGATCCCCCATTGTGGCTCCTCCCTAGCCCAGGGGTCATCATTTGAACAAACTTGAATCTACACTAGCTGAGGATGCTTCCATATCAATATGACTAAACATAGCTTTTCTGTTCTTGAGAAGAAATATTTTTTCTATATGTTCTTATGTAAAACTTTCGATCCCCCTATTGGGCCCCACACCAACCCCAGGGGTCATCATTTGAACAAAACTGAATTTACACTACCTTAGGATGCTTCCATATCAAAATGACTAATCATGGCTTTGCAGTTCTTCATCAGAAGAAATCTTCCTATATATTTCTATTTCAGACTTTGATCCTCCATTGTGGCCCCACCCTACATCAGGGGGTCAACAGTTGAACAAATTTGAATCTACACTACCTGAGGATACTTCCACATAAATATGATCAATCAGGGCTTTGCTGTTCCTGAAAAGAAGATTTTTAAAGATTTTTTCTATACATTTCTATGTAAAACTTTGATCCTCCACTGTGTCCCCACCCTACCCCCAGGGGGTCATGATTTGAATAAATTTGAATCTACACTACCTGAGGATGCTTCCATATAAATATGACTCATCACGGCTTTGCTGTTCCTGAGAAGAAGATTTTTAAAGATTTTTTCTATATATTTCTATGTAAAACTTTGATCCTCCACTGTGGCCCCACCCTACCCCCAGGGGGTCATGATTTGAATAAATTTGAATCTACACTACCTGAGGATGCTTCTATATAAATATGACTCATCACGGCTTTGCTGTTCTTGAGAAGAAGATTTTTAAAGGTTTTTCCCGTATATTTCTATGTAAAACTTTGATCCTCCACTGTGGCCCCACCCTACCCCCGGGGTCATGATTTGGACAAACTTGAATCTACACTACCTGAGGATGCTTCCATATAAATATGACTCATTATGGCTTTGCTGTTCTTGAGAAGAAGATTTTTAAAGGTTTTTCCGATATATTTCTATGTAAAACTTTGATCCTCCACTGTGGCCCCGCCCTACTCCCGGGGGGTCATGATTTGAACAAACTTAAATCTACGCTACCTGAGGATGCTTCCACATGAGTTTTATCTTCCCTGGCTTTGTGGTTCTTGAGAAGAAGATTTTTAAAAGATGCTATTAATTTTTCACTAATTCTTTATTATCTCCCCTTGAAAGAGGGCGTGGCCCTTCATTTGAACAAACTTGAATCCCCTTCACCCAAGGATACTTTGTGGCAAGTTTGGTTGAAATTGGGCCAGTGGTTCTTGAGAAGAAGTCGAAAATGTGAAAAGTTTACAGACAGACGGACGGATGGACAGACAGACGGACAGATGGACTACAGACAAATTGTGATCAGAAAAGCTCACTTGAGCCTTTGGCTCAGGTGAGCTAAAAACATGGAGAAAAGGGAATGTACATGAATACTTTTTATCACCATATCTTACTTCGCAAACCAGAAACTGCATGGACGATTTTGTAATAAACACTCGGGAAATAATTAAGACTGTTATATTCCCATATGAAAACATTTTCATGTCAGGCTCTAAAAACTGAAAATCTGCCGTATTTATATCAAATTTCTAAACACAAGTAAAACTTTTGGGATTGCTATCTTGTAGTAACAAAATCTTAATCCCACTTAGAATTTATTGTAAGTTTTCAAGTCATGTTTGTTCATGGTAGAATAGTCATATATACTATATCATTCCTAATCCTAACTGTGCATAAAGTTTACAAAAAGTTGTTCTAAAAAACTCTTCTTGAGCAAAAAACTTTAAAATCATGTGTTTTATTTACTTTCTCATGGGTTTGTCTAAATGTCGTTATCTGATTGGTCAAAAAGATTAGCACCTTGTATATTTTGTGTATTTATTGCAATTCACAGTTATCATTCTTGACTTCCATATTTGGAAATGGTCCAGATCTGTTAAATTTACCATATCCATGTTCATGCTAGGAGAATTTTACTTAGTTTTCTTTACCTTTAACCCGTAGTGTGATTGTAGCCCCTACTCCAGATGGGTTCACCTCATTGGTTGCATTACAAGTATATTCTCCCTTATCTTCAAACTCTAGATTGTTGATGTACAGAATGGCATTTTCATATTTATTATCTGCAGCAGCCAGTGAGATTCTTCTGTCTTGAGGGAGGGGCTGACCATCTTTTTTCCAAGTAATAGTTGGGTAGGGAAAGCCTGTGACCGGACATTTTAGTTCTACATCATCTTCCTGAACTACATTCTTTGAGGTATCCATTTTCCCAATTTTTGGTTCTCCTAAAAATATAATTATTAACTGATTATCATGAATAAAATGCTTCCCATATTATGTTTTGTTTGATATATTGTAACACTCCTGTTTGTCTACTCAGACTAATCAATACAAGAGGCCCAAGGGCCTTACCGGTCACCTGAGTACAATACAACAATTTAGAGGATCCATAAACTGAAAAATGAAGCTTTGTTGCCCAAAAGCAAGAAAAATAGTATGATTAGCATCAACAAAATAATTGGTCTAGTATCTACCTGCCTATCTGACTTTCCAAGTCATTAAATCTATGAAAATATTTTTTCATTATACAATAAATTATCTTGCATAATTCTCTTATTCTATTAAGCTTTCAAATACATTATTTACAATGATTAATTATCAAAGGTGAATGGCAAAGGGGAATAACTTTGCTCAGCAGAATACAAGTTAATAGAGCCCTGGCCAGGACTAGAACACTTGACTAAATGGTCCAGGTGTTCAAAATTCTGGTAAAAATACCCTTGCATATTAAAACTTTTACTCTGTTTGCCTTGAACATCCCCAGAAGCATAGAAGATTTTCATAGAAATGCATTTTCACCATATTATTAAATAAATAAAGCCCTATCCTTACCCAGAACATCTGACCCATTGGCCACGAACTCACAATTCTGGAAGAAGCACCCTTTCTCATTATAACTATACACTTGTTTCTTTACTTTATCACCAGTAGTAGAAAAAATATTTTAAAAGAAATTATGCATTTTCACTTTATATAATCAATAGAGCTCTTTCCCCCTCACCAGAACCCCTGACCCAAGGGCCATGAGGCATTCTTCCTTATCATAACCATGCACTTCCTTTGTTTGAAAAATACCCAGGCGCACAGAAGATTTTGAAAGAATTCATGCCTATTCCCTATATAATCAATAGAGCCCCGCCCTAACACCAGAACCCCTGACCCAGAGGCCATTAAATTCATAATTTCTGAGGCAGCCATGCTCATCATAACTATGTACTTAGTTTATTTAATATCCAGTAGCAGAGAAGATTTTCAAAGAATTAATGCAATTTTACTATATAATCAATGGAGCCCATCCCTAACACCAGAACCCCTGACCCAAGGGCCATGAAACAATTTCTGAAAAGGCAGTCATGCTCACCATAACTATGTTCTTAGTTAGTTTATTTAATACTCAGGAGCAGAGAAAAAGATTTTCAAAGAATTAATGCAATTCTACTATATAATCAATAGAGCCCTGCCCTAACACCAGAACCCCTGACCCAGGGGCCATGAAATTCACAATTTTGGAAGAGGCACTCTTGCTCATCATAACTATGTACTAAGTTACTTTATTTAATGCCCAGGAGCAGAGAAGATTTTCAAAGAATTAATGCATTTTAACTATATAATCAAAAGAGCCCCACCCTAACACCAGAACCCCTGACCCTGGGGCCATGAAATTCACAATTTTGAAAAAGGCACTCTTGTTCTTCATAACTATGTACTTAATACCCAGGAGCAGAGAAAATTATTGCAATTCTACTACATAATCAATAGAGCCCCGCCCTAACACCAGAACCCCTGACCCTGGGGCCATGAAATTCAAAATTTTGAAAGAGGTACTCTTGCTAATCATAACTATATACTAAGTTAGTTTATCTAATACCCAGGAGCAGAGAAGAAGATTTTCAAAGAATTAATGCATTTTCACTATATAACCAATAGAGCCCCGCCCTAACACCAGAACCCTTGACCCTGGGGCCATGAAATTCATAATTTCAGAAGAGGCACTCTTGCTCATCATAACTATGTACTAACTTAGTTCATTTTATATCCAGGAGCAGAGAAGAAGATTTTCAAAGAATTAATAACATTTTCACTATATAATCAATAAAGCCCTGTTGTAACACCAGAACCCCTGACCCTGGGGCCATGAAATTCACAATTTTGGAAGAGGCACTCTTGCTCATCATAACTATGTACTAAGTTATTTTATTTAATACCCAGGAGCAGAGAAGAAGATTTTCAAAGAATTAATACATTTTCACCATATAATCAATAGAGCCCCGCCCTAACACCAGAACCCCTGACCCAGGGGCCATGAAATTCACAATTTAGAAAGAGGCACTCTTGCTCATCATAACTATATACTTAGTTAATTTATTTAATACCCAGGAGCAGAGAAGAAGATTTTCAAAGAATTAATGCACTTTCACTATATTATCTATATAGCCCCACCCTAGCACCAGAACCCCTGACCCTGGGGCCATGAATTTCACAATTTTGGTAGAGGACTCAATGCTTATTACAATGATGCCAACAGTTTGACTGCTTGATGTCCAGGAGCAAAGAAGAAGATTTTTAAAGATTGCATTATTTTTGGTGGTTTTAGCCCCACCCCTCAGGCCCCAGGGGGGCAGGGACCATGGAATTCACAATTTTTGTTCCCCTTCACCCATAAATGCTATATGCCAAATTTGGTTGAAATTGGTTCAGTGGTTTCAGAGAAGAAGCTAAAAATGTTCAAATGTTAACACACGACGCACACCGCACGACGCACGCCGACGGACGAGAACGGATAGCAATAGGTCACCTGAGTGACTCAGGTGACCTAATAAGTAATTATTACATTTTCAACAGTGAAATACGGTGATTTATTTATTGAATAAAAGTGATATTCTCTCACAGTGTGAAAGGATATCAAAGTACTGGTAAGTAAAAAATAATTTCTGGCCTGCCATAAGATAAAGAAAGTAACTAAACCATCTTAATAGATACTAAAACTGTCAATTTCTTCCCAAATATGTTACTAAAATCCATGTTACAATGTTTTCAATCTCACAACTGCTAAGATGTCTCAACCGCTCAACTATGACGTCACAGCCTATGACACTGTGTTAAGAAAAGACAGAGGCAAAGGGAAAATCAAAGAAAATGTAGTAAACAGAAAATTCAATGTTTTGTAGTTGGATATGGTATTTATTTCACTCCTGAGACAGGATTTTTTTTTATATTTTCACTTGTGCTTCACACTTGTGAAAATATCAAAAAATCCTGCCCCACTTGTGAAATAAATTCCATATCAAACTACAAAATATTGAATATTCTCTATATGCTAGTTAGTGCATTCCTAATTGTTATCCATGTTATGTAGTGGTAGACCACCATCTATTACCAGTATGGGTGTAATGATAAGGCTAAAGCAAATTGTGGTATATCATGATACACTGGAACTGTATCACCATTCATGACTGGAAATTTCAATTTTCACAATTTTCTACATAATCTGTGTGTGTCTGTTCTGAAATATTATCACAGTGTGTAAGAAATAAGGTGAAGATTATTTCTTCAGTTCACAAATACATAACGTAACATTTAATAAGCTCTGAACACAATTAAACAGCATAAATAAATAATGAAAATCTCATGTATTAGGTTAAATTAAAAAGAATATCATACATTGCTTAAATATTATATATTGTGATACACAGGTATACCAGGATAGGGTACAATTTTCTTGTGTACACCAGTACCCCTAATCACCAGATACCAATGTTTGTGCTCATGTGACAAACAGTACAGAGATTTATATTTTTCACCAACACTGAACAGAAAAAAAAGAGTATAACAAGTGCATGGCTTTTGGACAATATAACTCTAGAGGTAGTAAATTAATAAGAATTTAAACTATGGCCATTCTCATAGAATTCTTAACTACTAACCTTTCAGTGGAACAATTGTAGAGACGATCGCCGAAGAACTTCCCCAAATTAATTTCACTTCACAGGTGTATGGGCCAACATCACTCCACTCTGAAACAAATCAATTTTTTATGATATATGAAGAAATCAGCCATAAATGACATTGTTTCCAATCTATCAAACAAGAAATCCATGGGCCTTGATGGTCACTTGAGTATCACAAGTTTCTCAGGCTCTGACCACTTAAGCCCCTACCTAGAATTGGTACTAGGTCTCATGTGACAAAATTTTACAGTTAGGTGAGTACATGCAGCATGTCTCCTAGAAATTCAGGAGTATTTGGTACATTCTGCAATAAATCTCAATTTAGGATAAACTCAGTCTAAAAGGGAAAAGAAATATTTTGGGAAGATAATACATTCTGGAATTATTTATGCAAACGTGAAAGAACTACATGTATTTCAGGGTTGTCCAATATTATCCATTGAATACTCTTAGTCAAGATTTCATATCTATTATCAAATATTTGATTCTGTCATACAAATGAAAATATTTTTAAAATATCTAAAATCTCTAGGCACCTGCCATTACTATTCGATTATATCTATTACAACTGTTTAGTAAAGGTTTAATTAGACACCATGTGTTGTGTAAAATTTTGACAATATCGAACGTAAATATATACGATGTCAAGCAGCTTGTTGGTCTAGGGGTATGATTCTCTCTTTTGATGCAAGAGTACATATGTTAATTTCTATGTTGGGCTTCCATACTTTATACATAAGTGGTTCTACTTTCATTCTGTCTTTCCCTTTACCAATGACCCTTACATCATATTTTTTATAAATTGTTCCTTTTATACTTTTTGAATGTGTTTATATCACCCAATAGGCCATAGTTCATACCTTTCTTTGCCCATTTTTTATCATTTAAAGAGCATAAAAGGACTAAGGAGAGAGAGAAATTTTTACAAAGATGGAACAATTTTAAAGGTCAGTATTTTCTAAAAGAAATATATTTTTTATACTAGCTTATATCATTTAATCTAAAATCTGTAATTCATAACAAAGATTTTGATGTGCAGATGTTGTATATCTCTCAAAAGTATTTATACATTTTCAGAAATGATTTCTTATCAAAATTTTGACTTTGACGAAACCTTAAGAAATAATTAGTCTAGTGTTCAGTAACAACTCATAAATTAAGTTCTTATCTGTTCCCCATTTTGATTTTTTTTCCTGTAAGTTTTAATTTCTATTATGGCTCCACCCTACCCCAGAAGCTATGATTTGAACAATCTTCAATCTTCACTACTAGATCCTGAAGAAGCTTCTGTATTAAAATGACTAATCATGGCTTTGTTGTTCTTGAGAAGAAGATTTTTATGCCCCGCCATGAATATGGCCGGGCCATATAGTGTCCGTCTTCTGTCCCTCTGTCTGTCTTTCCACTGCCCTTTGCCTTTAGCTCTGTTCAAAGTTCAGTTTCAAAGAAACTATCCAAGATATTTTTATCAAACTTCATATGCTGATAGATATTGATGAAAGCTATGCAACTGCATCAATATTTTTTTACCTTGACCTTTCCTTTGAACTTGACCTCACTTTTCTTAAATTAGTGTTTAGCTTGGTTTAAAAGATACCATTCAAGATAGTGTAATCAAACTTCATATGTTGATACATATTGATGTAAGCTATTCAACTGCATCAACATTTTTGACCTTCACCTTTCCTTTGTCCTTGACCACACTTTTCTTAAATAAGTGTTTAGCTCAGTTTTAATGAAATCATTCAAGATATTTTTATCAACTTCATATGCTGATATGCTGATACATACTGATGAGAGCTTTTCAATTGCATCAATATTTTTTGACCTTGACCTCACTTTTCTTAAATTAGTGTTTAGCTCAATTTTAAAGAAACCATTCAATATAGTGTTATCAAACTCCATGTGCTGATACATACTAATGAGAGCTATTCAACTGCATCAACATTTTTTGACCTTGACCTTTCATTTGACCTTGACCCCACTTTTCTTTAATTAGTGCCAAACTTCATATGCTGACACACACTGATGTAAGCTACTCAACTGCATCAATATCTCTTGATCTTGACCTTTCCTTTGACCTTGACCTCACTTTTCTCAATTTGTGTTTAACTCAGTTTTAAAATTAAAAGCCTGAAAGGCTTCAATGGCATCGAACATGAAAAACAAATTCAAAACATTTTTTTTTAAATTTGAAGATAGCAGTAGGTCAAATAAGTGACTAATAAAAATTGTAAAGTTGTAAACAAAATGTCAAAATTACAGTCTTTGGCATTATGCCATGGTCTGAATAGAGCAGGGTTTGAACTGACTAGACACCGTCGAACATGTTCATGCTGGATATCTAACTCATTTTTTTTTCAGTCAATTAAAGAACTATCAAGGATGTAATGAATTTATATGAATATTATTCTAATTGTCAATGTCTAAGCATTGTTTTAGTGCATCTAAACAACAACCGTAACTCGCTGACGGCTCTGTTACGACTACGATCGAGATATAATTGGGCCTGGTAGGCCTATACGGTAAAATGTGATATGGAAGAAATGGTGAAATACAGTAATAACTTCAGTTTTTATGATAAAATTGGTTAATTTAATATTGTGGTTATTTTACTACCTATTAAGTCAGTGATTCATTTTGAAAATGGTTATCATGGGTCCAAAGGACCCCTGTTCAGGACAACAATGAGTCCCATGTCAAAACCAATGCGTCCAAATCCAATGGTACATGTACTGTATATTAAATATGACAGAGGAAATTCTGGTGAAATATAAAAGGGTATTGCACAAAAGTGCAATTGTTTTATTGTAGGCCTACCTGTGAGTGGTTATACTATTACTATCAACTGGAAGTAAGAATACACGATTTTGTGGCATGAAAATAATATATTGTCACCTGTGCACTTTAGTTCTATTTTTAGACCATAGCTATGATCATACACACTGAATGCACAGAAGCAGACCAGTTGTTCTGTTGAATGAAGTAAAAAAAGTTTTTTTTTTAAATGAAAAATAGTATCTTTGATATGCAACAGAATTATTTGTAGATATAATTGATGCAATTTTATTTCAAGCTATTATTCATTGTGAAAATTTTCAAAGAAATCGATGCATTGTTATTGCTATTTCTTTTGGGGATGCATGGACTGACACATTCGGTCACGTAAAGTTTGGTCGCCCGCTAAATGGCATTCGAGCTCAAGAGCTCGATACCATAAAAATCATTCATAATATTGTTATCAAACTTCATATGCTAATACATACTGATGTAACCTTTTTAACTGCATCAACATTTTTTGACCTTGACCTTTCCTCTGACCTTAACTTCATTTATTTTAAATTAGTGATTAGCTCAGTTTTAAATAAACCATTCAAAATATTTTTCGCAAACTTAATATGCTGATATGTATTTGTGAGAACTATTCAAATGCATCAAAAATGTTTGACCTTGAACTTTCCTGTGACCTTGACCTCACTTTTCTTAAATTTGCATTTTGCTTAGTTTTATGCACATAATTTGGTGAGAATTTATCATCTATATCCAACTTTTTAGATTTCAATTTTAAAGAAGCTATTCAAGATATTCTCATCAAATTTCATACACTAGCTAATATAAATTTTCATGTTGCATTACTAATATACCCTCGGTGGGGCATTCATGTCCTATGGACATATTTCTATTTAAATGATCTTTCCTATATATTCCTAAAACTTTGATCACCTTTTGTGTCCCCTCCCTAACCCAGGGGGGCATGATTTGAACAAATCTGATTTAACATTACCCAAGGATGCTTCCATATAAATAAGACAAATCATGGCTTTGCTATTCTTAGGAAGAAGATTGATAAAGATTTTTCCTAATATGTATTCATATATAAATCTTTGATCATCCATTGTGGCCCCACCCTATCCCAGAGTCATGATTTGAACAAATTTGAATCTATACTACCTGAGGATGCTTCCATGTAAATATAACCAATCATGGCTTTCTTGTTCTTGAGAAAAGATTTTTTTTTTCAAGATTTTTCCTATGTATTCCTTTGTAAAAATTTGATCTTCCATTGTGGCCCTGCCCTATCCCCTGGGGTCATGATTTGAACAAACTTGAATCTACACTACCTGAAGATGTTTTCACATAAGTTTCATTCTTGGACCAGTGGTCCTGGAGAAGATTTTTCCAACATATTCCCATGCAAAACTTTGATCATCCATTGTGGCCCCATCCTACCCCTGGGCGTCATGATTTGAACAAACTTTAATCTACACTACCTGAAGATGTTTCAACATAAGTTTCATTTTTCCTGGCCCATTTGTTCCGGAGAAGAAGATTTTTAAAGATTTTTCCTAAGTATTCCTATGTAAAACTTTGATCATCCATTGTGGCCCCACCCTACTTTTGGAGGTTATGATTTTAACAAACTTAAAGGACTTATCACATGATCTTTCAAAAATTGTAATTTTATGAAAAATATTATCTACAACCTTGTTTATTAAAATACTGAATACTAAAAATGTCGTTGAAAGCCTATTTTAAGAGATATTGAGAGTTGAAATTCAAATACGGCAATATGCATATTTCAGTCGGATTTTGGTGAAATACTGCTCTGACATCATAGGCGACAATTCAGTGATAGAGAGATGAGAATATGCACACTATTTATGGAGTTATCAACGACAATTGCAGCTTAATTACGAAAAATTCTGAAAAAAAAATTCCTAGCGTGCTTTTTAATTACTATAGAAACATTAACTAGTTCTAATGTATAAAGCTTTTGTGATATTTTTGTTTTTTATTCAAAACATTTAGAATCTGTACAGCTCTGATTACAGCAATGTTTCGTGATCGGAAAATTATTTTTCAGGACCGCCATCCTTTACAAAACATAAGTAAATTAATGTTATGCTAAAACAAAGAATAACAAAGTTATACAACATTAAATTTGTGAATCAAATAAGTTAATACATGTGATAAGATGTCAAATCAAATTGTATTGTGATGGTGAGTTTCTTTGTCTTCGCCGCGTCTCCTTCAATATCGTCGCTGCTATTTTTACAATGCTAACAGATTTTTCAGATTTTTTCTTGCTGACAATTCTAAGATATAAGGTTGGATATCCAATTTCATATCGATAAAATCAGTGATTTGGTCCTCCACAATGCAGAAAATTCAGGTTGTTTTGTGTATATTTTAGTAAGATTATTGTGAAGAGCTGATCAGCCATTGTCGCCTTTGACATCATAGGGTCACGTGATCACTATCTAATTAACTTAGATTTTTAATTCAGGGGGTTTTCATTTGAGTCAGTAATTGGTTAATTACCGCGGTTTATCCGCAGTAAAAACACAAAATTTATAAACTATGGTCATAAGGAACGCTTTACGCTTTTAATTTCAAATAATTTAGAAACATGTGATAAGTCCTTTAAGTCTACATTACCTGAGGATGTTTCTATATAAGTTTCATCTTACCTGGTCCAGTGGTTCTTGAGAAGAAGATTTTAAGAAGATGACATTAATTTTTCACTAAATCTTAATTATATCCCCTTGGAAGAAGGTGTGGCCCTTCATTTGAACAAATTTGAATAACCTTTACCCAAGGATACTTTGTGGCAAGTTTGGTTGAAATTGGCCAAGTTTTTCTTGAGAAGAAGTTGAAAATCTGAAAAGTTTACGCATGACGCACACCCACACAATGACAGGCGAAAACAGATAGCAAAATGCATTCAAATTTTCACATATTTATAATTATCTCTCCTTGGAAGAAGGGTTACCAAAGGATACTTAGTGGCAATTTTGGTTGAAATTGGCCAAGTTGTTCTTCAGAAGAAGTCAAAAATGTGAAAAGTTGACAGATGGACCTTGGACAAAATGTGGTCAGAAAAGCTCACTTGAGCCTTTGGTTCAGGTATCTAAAATCTAGATAAATCCCTGGAATTGGGCAAAGAGATCTGTCAGTCACTGGTTAATATGACAAGTATTTTTACCTGCTTTTTCAATTGTGAGTATGCTGCTTCCATTGAGTTTGTGTCTATCAGAAACACTGGTTGCAAGGTTATCTCCCATTTTCCACTTCTGTTCTATTTGAAATGTTTGACTTGTTCCAGTAACATTTTCTTGACTTATTGTGTACTTGCATTCCAATTTGTTGTTTTGTTTATTGCCAAGAGTGGTGTTGTACTCATCAGGGGTTGTAGTAACTGAAAAACAATAAAAAGAAATTATCGAGAAAAAATGTAATAATTATAAGTGTAGAATATACCACAAAAAAAAATTATTGCTACAACTATGGAATTTATATTTCTTAAGATTTAGCCCTAAGGATTGAGTGGAGTTTCTGCACGCAATGCCAACGTCTCACAAAAAAGCAAGCTTATATGATTTTTTTCATAGTTTCTGACCCCAAACCTAAGTTTCAATGGCAACAAAATCAAAGAAATCTGCATGACACTTATGTGATACACTGTCATAATCCAAACTCTTTTAGTTAAAATAATAACAAACTACTTACAGTGTACTACCACAACTTCTGTATGAATATCAGGTACACCTTCATATTTACAAACATATTTTCCAGCATCTGAGCGAGAAACTTTTTCTTTCATCAAGGTTACAGTTATAGTATACATATCCTTCATCTTGGGGTCCTGTGTGAATCCTCTGTTAGTATCAAATTTGTTGTTAAAGTTGTCATAAAATGCCAATTTTTGTATATCGGCATTGCTGAAGGTAGTCTGACGCTTGTAAGTACAGGTGATTGAGAGGTTTGAACCAGAAGCAAACACATATACTCCTTTCCCAATGGTAATATTACCAGCAGCTGAAGAAAAGAATACTGCTATTAAAGACAGATAATACAAACTTTTATCAAAAAATTTGAAAATAACAACTTGAGTTCTGTATATGTAAGTAAAATACACAAGTTTAAGGTAGTTCGATCATCAGGTTCTGAAAATCGGCTTTTAAGTAATTGAAAATGCTCACAAATATGTCTCTGATTTCAAAGAGTAACGTGAATTTACCCATGGCATTTCTTCAAAGTTCATCATTTTAGTTAATCATATTACATTTCCATTTCTATTTGTTTTCTCTGTGATAACTCTTTGAAAGTTAGTTGAGTTGATTTCTTGATCATTCTACCGGAATGTTAATTTCACCAAGCGAAAGGTCAGGAGCTAAGAAGGCCTAATATGCATGTAATTCTCGCGCGGCTGTCTTTGTGTTTGATGTCAGTGGGCGGGGACTATTGAAATTGACATGCGAGGCCTCGTGTAATTTAAATCTATTAGTCTACATTTTTAAAATCTAAATTTACAATTTTATTTCACAATGAAATGGAAATATAAGGAATCACTGACTAGTTAGTAGAGTATGCCAGGGACATCAACGATAGTTGGAAACGGGGGATAATTTATGCATAACGGGCTTTGCCCGTTATGCAAATTATCCCACATTTCCAACCATCGTTGATGCCCTGGCATACTCTACTAACTAGATAGTGATTCCTTAAATATAGGGGAAATCATCAAATCTCAAATATATTTTCAGGAAATGCGAATAAAAACACCAGCTATGCACTTTCTAATGAAAATTGATCAAAAAATATATTTTAGGATAAACAAAAATATAGGTATCCCGGCATTTGGGGAAGATTGCATCTTTTTTTACTTATACAGTATTTTAGTTCTTCTATTTACTTCAATTGTTATGTAATACATAGTGTAAAAAGCTTGTGCTATCATTGCTAGACATTACATATCATGTAAATTTCATATCCTGCTAATTAGCATTGGTAACTAATGCTAGATTAAAGGAAATTTGATTTGTCTAAAAATGAATTTATTTTTTTTCTTTTAATTATGGGGTACAAATGTCAACTTTTTACAAGACACTCTTTAAGACATCAAAGAACCTTGAGCCATATTGAGATGCATAAAATGAAAATTGTTGCATGAAAAGATCTCAATTTCAAGCTTCATTTTGAGACTTTTTTCTCTGTTTTCCTGTGTAAGACATTAACTGTTTTTGTACACAGGGCACGAGCTCCGTTATTCTTAATATTATATCTCATTGAGTGTGTTCAATTTGTTAAACTCTGCACACATCACTAAGCAGGGTCTGACAATACAGGTGAATTGTTTTGCTTTCTCACGTTTCTACTCTGAATTTTCTGGATTATAGCTTTAATATTTTTCAGTTTCTACTTTTCTTATTATTAAGGATAAAGTTTGCTTTGTGAAAGTGCAAGGATGTGTCAATCAAACGCGTCCTGAAATTCGTAGTTTCAATAATTTCCAGATAAAATAAGTTTTTTATTATATTTCCATGTGAAATGCTATTGTAACATATAAGTCATGATATTATACAGAAAATTTGAGAAAATATTAAATTCAAATCTGTGTCCAGGCCCTTTTAAAGAAAGTATTTTTAAAGCTTTTACCTATTTACAGGAGAACATACTTATAGTGAAGTCACTGAAGTGCCAGGGAAGAACTATTGTGATATGTTATACATGTAGTTGTAAATAGAGGATATTCAAAGTCTTTAAGTTGGATATGGAGTTGATTTCACAAGTGGAGGATTTTTTTTTATTCATATATATTTTTTCAGGTGTGTGAAGCACAAGTGAAAATATTAAAAAAAAAATCCTGTCTCAAGTGAAATAATTCCATATCCAACTACAAAATATTACATTTTCTGTTTATTATATTTTTTTCATTTTCCCTTTACCTTTATTTTTTGGAACATAGTGTCATAGACTGCATCAACATCAACAAATTACATGACATCATAGATGAGCGGTTGAGAAGTCATAGCTTAGTAATTGTGAGATTGTAAACATGGTATTAAACATGGATTTTAACAACATATTTGGAGAAACTTTAGTAGTTTTGGTCTCTTTCAGGATGATTTATTTACTATATCTTTTGACAGGCCAGGGAGTACTTTTTTACAACACTTTTAGTGAAGGGAAGGAAAATCTCAAGTTATATATTGTCACACTTTGACATTCTTTCACATTATGACAAAATATATATTTTATTCAAATAAATTACAGTTTTTCACTGTTGAAAATGTATTGATTTGTTAGTTTTATTAATAAGTTCATAATATGATTGAAAACTAGAGGGAATGAAAATCACTGTTCTTTTAAGTGGGTTTCCTGTAAGCTTATTCCTATGTAAAACTTTGATTCTCTATTATTGTCCCATCCTTCCCCCACGGGGCCATGATTTTAACAAACGAGAACCTGCGCTACATGATGATACATGTACTTGCATATTATTTGTACAGTTGTACTATGATTAATCATGTCCTAGCTGTTCTTCGATTTTTTTCATAAGTTGTACATTCCCTTGTAAAACAACCCTACCTCTCAGGGATCACAATTCAAACAAGCTTGAATATATCTAAACAAGGAAGCTTAAACATAAGTTTTGTTTTTTCTCTCCTAGTCCAAAGAAGAGTATTTAATGACCTATCACATTTTCACAATTAAGGTTTTCCATCCCTAATAGGACCTAATTCTCTATACTTAAATATCCATCACGTTTATAATACTCTGATATTAATTGAAAGCATTTTACAGTAGAAAAGGATTTACCAAGAGAAAGTTTCAAAAACATAATTTACTAAGCAGTAATTAATAAACAGAAATTGCATTGAAGTCTATGGAGACAAGCGATTTTTTTTTTAAATAAAACTTCAAATAATATCAATAAATACTGTGGTGGAAAGATGCATTAAATCATTAGAAATAGAATGACAATTGAAAACAATTTTTTTTACCATATAGATTTTTTAAAATTGATTTATATTACTTAAAAAAACTAGAAATATGTCCATAGGACATGAATGCCACGCCGAGGGTATATTAGTAATGCAACATTTTAACACAAATTGAGAAAAGTGAGGTCAAGGTCAAAGGAAAGGTCAAGGTGAAAAAATATTAATGCAGTTGAATAGCTCTCATCAGTATGAATCAGAATATGAAGTTTGACACTAATTTAAGAAAAGTGAGGTCTAGGTCAAAGGAAAGGTCAAGGTAAAAAATTGTTGATGCAGTTGAAAAGGATACATCAGTATGTATTAGCATATGAAGTTTGATAAAAATATTATGAATGGTTTCTTTAAAACTGAGCTAAACACTAATTTAAGAAAAGTAAGGTCAAGGTCAAAAATATTGATGCAGTTGAATAGCTCTCATCAGTATGTATCAGCATATGAAGTTTGACACTAATTTAAAGTGAGGTCAAGGTCAAAGGAAAGGTCAAGGTCAAAAAATATTGATGCAGTTGAATAGCTCTCATCAGTATGTATCAGCATATGAAGTTTGATAACACTATCTTGAATGGTATCTTTAAAACTGAGCTAAACACTAATTTAAGAAAAGTCAGGTCAAAGTCAAAGGAAAGGTCAAGGTCAAAAATATTGATGCAGTTGAATAGCTCTCATCAGTATGTATCAGCATGTGAAGTTTATTAAAAATATCTTGAACTGTTTCATTAAAACTGAGTTAAACACTAATTTAAGAAAAGTGAGGTCAAGGTCAAAAGAAAGGTCAAGGTCAAAAATTGTTGATGCAGTTGAAAAGGATACATCAGTATGTATTAGCATATGAAGTTTGATAAAAATATTATGAATGGTTTCTTTAAAACTGAGCTAAACATTAATTTAAGAAAAGTAAGGTCAAGGTCAAAGGAAAGGTCAAGGTCAAAAAAATATTGATGCAGTTGAATAGCTCTCATCAGTATGTATCAGCATATGAAGTTTGACACTTATTTAAGAAAAGTGAGGTCAAGGTCAAAGGAAAGGTCAAGGTCAAAAAATATTGATGCAGTTGAATAGCTCTCATCAATATGTATCAGCATATGAAGTTTGATAACACTATCTTGAATGGTATCTTTAAAACTGAGCTAAACACTAATTTAAGAAAAGTGAGGTCAAAGTCAAAGGAAAGATCATGGTCAAAAATATTGATGCAGTTGAATAGCTCTCATCAGTATGTATCAGCATGTGAAGTTTATTAAAAATATCTTGAATTGTTTCATTAAAACTGAGTTAAACACTAATTTAAGAAAAGTGAGGTCAAGGTCAAAAGGATGGTCAAGGTCATAAAATGTTGATCCAGTTGAATAGCTTACATCAGTATGTATCAACATATGAAGTTTGATTACACTATCTTGAATGGTATCTTTAAAACTGAGCTAAACACTAATTTAAGAAAAGTGAGGTCCAGGTCATCAGTATGTTTCAACATATGAAGTTTGATTACACTATCTTGAATGGTATCTTTAAAACTGAGCTAAACACTTATTTAAGAAAAGTGAGGTCAAGGTCAAAGGAGAGGTCAAAGTCAAAAAATGTTGATGCAGTTACATAGCTCTCATCAATATCTAACAGCATATGAAGTTTGATAAAAATATCTTGGATAGTTTCTTTGAAACTGAGCTTTGAACAGAGCTAAACTCAAAGTGTGACGGAAGGACAGAAGGACGGAAGACAGACATGACAAACACTATATGCCCCGGCCATATTCATGGCGGGGCATAAAAAGAGGGAGATAACTCTTCAACAAGTCAAGGTAATAAATTAGGACACGTTCCATTCTTACATGCTAATTGTAATAAATGGGAATTATGTCTAGTAAATATACTGAGTATTCCACCCATACATCTCTGGTATGTATTCAAATTTATTGAATCTGAGGCTGTTAGGGATGGAATACCTTAAAGAAAAGGTGTGGCTCTGCATTTAAACAGACTTTTTCCCCTTCACCCAAGGTTGCTTTGTGGTAAGTTTGGTTGAAACTGGTCCAGT